AGGCTTTTTGACACTCCTTCAACCCCCACTGCCTTCCTGAAAGGAGGAGGGTAAATGTGGGTTTTTTGACTTGCATCTCTGACTGCTGTTCTGTGACGTCTCTTTATCGTAAAATATTTGACTGTATGCCTATGTGAGAAAGCTGCTTGTTGTTGGTCGAGTGCAGTACAAAATTTTACAAAACAGGTAAAATTGGAATGTCTTCTAATTTTGCAGGCGTGTGATTGAGCCTAGATTTACTCCTGTGCTGGTGACTGTTGCTGATATGATCACTGGTAAGACAACACAAAAAAGATGCTCAGAGCCATATAGCTAGCTTGCTATATAATTGAAACAAGATTGAAAGTGCTACATTTTTAAGAAACCAAACCCTTATGGCTTGTTTCTATGTATGGATTTAGTGTCAAGAGAATGATCCTAAAAAGAGGTATTTCCAGATAACTTTGACCATAGTCAGGATTCAGTTTGCATAGGCTGCAGGAAGCTCCTCGTTGTCTTGAAGTTCCTTTGATGCTTCATGTTTCTTCTTATTATTATTTATTATCCTCTTATTCAGTGAGGTAAAAATAGTATTTGAAGTCATAAAAACTTCAGTTTCTGTTTGACATACTGCCCCTGTAATTACATGCAACCACTGCTTTCAGAACAGACAACATTAAAGTTACCTTATTTTTTCAGAATGTTGGATTCAGATGTTGAATGAATCTAGAATCCTTAAATGAATCTCTAACTATCTAATACAATTTTTTCCTTTTTATACATCTATGGATTCTTAACTGATATTTTTCTCTACAGATATTTATCAGCCTGTGGTTGGGCAGTCAGCAATAGTTGATAAACAGTTCTTGAAACTTCAGGAAGCTATTGGAAAAGAAATTGACTATCAAGAAGAACTACTGGAAGTTCTGGGAATGATGGATACACTGTTTGCTACTTTTACTAAGAAAAAAGATACCTGTCTAGAAGAGAACAAAAGTAATGGTGTTACAGAGATCATTGAAACAAATATGAATTTCTGACACCCATCACAAAAAATTGTCACAATTGTGAACTTGAAAGATGACCTATTCTCCTGGTAACTTCTTATACTAGTGACTTTCAAAATAAGCTTCTCTGTGTTGAAGTTATGTCTTTTAAACTGTGTTGCTGAATAGGCTTGATTACTGAAGACAGAGGACATTTTCAGGGTTGTCCATACA